ATCAATTTCCAAATTTTGAGTTGTGACTCTTCGAATGAGGAAACAGTCCATTTTGATTGTTTAAGAATTGGCTTCTGCCCTCACACTTCATGAGAGTGTGTATATATCTCACTGAATCTTGGTGATGCTGCACACAATGAATGTGGTACATTTGCCTGAAGGCAAAATTTGTCACTTAATATATTGCTGAGACACTGAATGGAACTATCTGGTTAAGCAGTTAAGGAATTAAGAGGCAGGTGAATGAGGAGGTGTAATGGACAGGAGGAGTGCTGATCAGCACTTGGTGACTAAGGGGTTAAACTCAGGTAGCTAGTAAAGGTGTTGACGAAGGGGCCATGAGAACCAATTGAGATAGTGGGTTGAAATTTGAATTGGTTATAGGTTCCTTGCCTGCTTTCTTTGTGTGGGAGAGATAAACCAGGGCTAGTCTAGACTGGCATGATTTTCCACAAATGCTTTTAACGGAAAAGATTTCCGTTAAAAGCATTTGTGGAAAAGAGCTTTTAGATTGGCACGGACGCTTTTCCGCAAAAAGTGCTTTTGCGGAAAAGCGTCCGTGCCAATCTAAAAGCTCTTTTCCACAAATGCTTTTAACGGAAATCTTTTCCGTTAAAAGCATTTGTGGAAAATCATGCCAGTCTAGACTAGCCTAAGAGTTTCCCTTCCCCGGAAAGCACGTGTAAGGGAAATGAGCGAGTGCTTTCGCCTGGCTTCATTCTTTAACAAAGGCCCCCCGCCCAGGAGGATGCCTGGGCCAAGCTTGCCTGACTTGAATTTGAAATGGAATGCTGCTTTAGAAGTCCTTGGTGGTGGGGTGCACTGGAATATTCAAACCAATTAACCTCTTAGGAAAATACACTGTTTACTATAACAAAGTGATCAAATAGACTTTGTGTAAGTCTGGCTAAAAGTAAGGCCACTCCATGTTAGTCAACAGTTAGTGCTTAGGGTTGAGTTTTGAACTCTTTGTAACGTGAACATTTCCTGTTAATCAAGGTTAGTGATTCATCCTTTCAGGTTTATTTTAAAAAGCCTGAAACCTGCCTATTTATGGAGTTAGACTGTGTAACCTGATCTTCTTTACAGTTGTCTCCTTACTGACAAGCTCCCCCCTTTTTCTGCTTTATAGTTCCACCTCTGTGCCTCCTGCTCCATATTTGTCATCGGAAGAAGTGGGTTATGTCCATGAAAGTTCATGATACTATTTATATATTTTTGTTAGTCTCTACAGTGCTACTGGACAAGTGTTGTTTTTTACATCTTTTTAATTACAGACTAACACAGCTACCCCCTCTGAGTCCTTCCTCCACTATCTCCCATACATCCATCCAATTATCTTTAAGGTAGCTGTAGCATCCCTTTGGAGCAGGAACTGTCTTTTTAATTTGTGTTTACAGAGGGCAGTGCTGAAGACCATGAGGCCCACACTCCTGACTTGTGCCTCGGGGGTGCTACTGTCATACAAATTAGAATAATAGAATTGTATGCTCTCTTTTTGCAATACAGGTTTGTTTCACTTTGTAGTGTATGTGCCGCTACTATGGTCCTGTTCTCATCACAAACATTTGCAAAGAGGTAACAATTATTCCTAAGCTCACAGACTCAGTCAAAGAGGTGGCACTGCTCTTTATGGGCAATGCTCTCTATATTATAGATGCGCTGATGTTAGATCTGCCAGACTGGAGTTACAATTTATAGCTTATATTTGAGAATAGAGCAATTGCTAGACTGCAGCCTACATAAAGATCTATGAACGAAACCCCCACCTTCAGTCCAAGGCTCTCTTAGAAACTCAGTTTTGCTGTCGAGCCTGCAAGAAGGAAAATTTCATAGAAAACTAGAACTGGAAGGGACCTCAAGCGTTCATTAAGTCCAGTCCCCCTTCCTCACAGCTGGACCAAACACCATCTAGATCAGTGGTCCCCAACTTTTTTGTGTGGTGGGCGCTGCACCGGTAGGTGACATCATTCCGCTGCGTCGCCTGGCCAGTCGGCCCCGTCCCAAATGCACTTGTGCTGGCGCCAGACCCCCCATCGTGGCCATTTCGCTGCTCCAGACCGGCCGTCCTACTCCCGCGGAATCCCCGCCGTGCTCCCTGGCAGGTTCTCCTGCTGCCGGTGCTTCCCCGCACCCTGTCACAGAGCGAGTTCAGCCCTGCAGCACGTGTGGCCTGTCCTCCCCCAGCCATCCCGCGTTGTGACCCCAACTAGGCGGGCGCACATAAATGCCCCGGCATTTAAAGAAGAGCAGATTTTTGATGAAGAGGGTGGCTTGCCGAAAAAGCCGCATCTTAATTACTTTCACATTCAAAATTCCTGCGGAATTTGCATATCCTCTTTCAACTGTTTGGCGTAGTCTAGATATGTCCTTTGTGTGAGCACAAGTTTTTGTACGTAGGCTTTAAGGCTTGCTTCCAGATGTGGTGTAGACAACTCTAAAGACCATAAAATTTCACCTGGTTAGCTGTGCATAGAGCTCAGTGATCACTTAGTTACAGTTTCTATAAACTTTCATGGAAAGAGAAGTCTTGTTGGTAAGAAATGATTGTAGAAAGAAAATGTGTCCCAAATATTCATGCAAATATGTTTTTGCATGTGTCATTTTCACATGGTGACCTTAAATTAAGTTTTGTAAGTTCTGGACTCATCCAGTTAGGAAGCAGGAGTAATATACTACTTAATTTAGGTGACCCATAGCACTGTATGAAAGTGAATTGGAAACATTAAACACAAAGGAAACAATAAACACAATTGTGCATAAATTGCAAGAAACCCACTGGCTGCAATATGCAGGGATAAGCCAGTCAGCAAATGCCTGATCTGGCCATCTTCATTCCACAGTCAGTATAAATTGACTCCTGGATTCATAAGGATTGAAGTTTGTTTGCAAATGATTTGCCAAAAATAAAAGGGGTTACATTTGTTGAATAAATTGCTTGTTAAGAATAGTTCATCGAACTCTACTTGCACCTATGTTATGTAATGAAAACTGAATGCCCTTGATTCAGAAAAAAAATCTGAATGTATCAAGTGGAGAAATGCATTATTGGTAAGGTTAGACCAATTTCTCCCCACAAATCAGTGTTACATTAATTATTATTATTATTACTATTATTTAAAGTTCAGAGTAAAACTAGAGTGCTCAATAACTCTTATATTTGAGCCTTAAAAAGCTGATCTTAAATATGTAACACTGTCCAGCTGTACTCTGTTCTACTCAGCTGTTCTCATCCTCATTTGTGTTGTGTCTGAACATTGGGTTACAAACATCTTGTGACAGGATCGGTCTCTATCTGTTGTGTGAGATATCAGCTATACTTGGTCTTGCACTGCAAATAATAAAGGGACATATTTTTTCCTCCTTAGCAGTTTAGACCTAGCCACATTGTGGCCTCAGTTTTTCCTGAATTAGCCACTGTTTGCACGTTGGATGATGGCAGTTTGCAGCATCTATGCCTAAGTGACAAGCTGAGAATACCATAATAAAGTACCTGTCATTTGGCTGCAAATCATAAAGGCAGCATTCAGTACAATATTTACCAACATGTAGGCTTGAGGGGAAGGATGGTGCTCTTATTAAGACAGAAGTCTGAGTGTCAGGAGATCATAGTTCAGTTCCCTGTTCTCTCCCTGGATTCCTCTGTAACTTTGTACAAAATTTCTTTTCTCAGGTTTCTCATCTAAAATTGGGCTATTTTATTTCCTTACCTACCTCAAGGAAGTATTGAGAAATTAAGTTGTATGAAGTTTGCAGAGCATCCTTTTAAAGAGTACAGGATAGAAGAAGCTATGGGAATGCAAAGTATGCAGTTCCAGTTATTAAAACCAATTATAATTAAAAAATAAAAACCAGTTTTAAATATGTTGAATAAAAAGGAACTAACTGCAGTACCACATTACAAATATTCAAAACAGGATCGGTTTGTACAATAAACATTTTTAGAACTGAAAGCAGTATTTGTATCCTACTTTGCTGTTGGTTATAATTGACTGCATCCAAGTTGTTTTAATCAGATGTACTATATTAGCCTGCTCAATTGTATTGTATGCATTACAAGATGAATGTTGCTACATGATAATCACTTGAATTAATGGCTGGTACCATTTCTCCCTTCCAAAAGACTTAAGAGGCATTGTTTGACTTTAAGCTTATTTTTAGTCAGGCTTAAATTTAGTCATGATAGATACAAAGTTTCATATGCTTGCTATTGTCATAAGTAACCATACTACTACATACTTTCAAGTAGGAATAAGAAATCCTCCGGAAAAGGCTTTATTTTCCAGAGAATCACGTCTAGACTGGTGCTTTTCTCCAGCTTTTCCCCAAGCCGGAAAAAAGCGACAGCCATGTTAATGCAAATGCCGCGGGGGATATTTAAATCCCCCGCGGATTTGCCTATTCCAACGTGCTACATTAGCATCCCTTTTCCGGAAAGGAGTGCCAATGTAGACACAGCCTGAAGGTTCTCTCTTCACACATATGGGCCTATTCAGGATTGCAGCTGCTGTGGCCTAGTTCTGCAAAGTGTGAGCACACATATTATGCACTTTAGCAGTCCCTGTTGACTTCATGCTACACATGCACTTGAGCATCCCTAAGAACAGGGTATTTCTGGACAAGCAAGTAGTGCACTACTTTTTACTCATTAGCCCTGCAGATCTGTTAACAGCTAAGGACAAGTGAATTTAATTAAAGTTCCAGTTGCAGAGTCAAATTATGTCCTCCCACCTCCATCTTCTAGCATATGATTGAGGGATTGTTTGGCCTTCATAATTGTTATTGCTGGTACTGATGTGTGAATTATATGGAAACAACCTATCAGTCAAACCCTGAGTGAGTAAGCGGGATTGCCAGTTAGAAAATATTTGTTAACTGAGTAGATATGACCAACAAGTCAGAGATACAGCGTTACACAATGCCACTTCACAGTGTTACTTTTCAAAGTAGAACTTTGCAGTAGAGGTGCCAGTATCAATGAGGTGAGGCCAACATTTAAAATGTTGTTTATGGAAAAGGAATACATGATGATGTACTATATTCAGGATTTATGGGCAACATTTGGGATTGGTATGGAGAAGCCAAAAGTGCAGGTTAGTCTATACAAATGGCAGTACATTTTATCCCACATACACAACATAGATTCTGCTACTTCCATGAGTTTTACAGGGAAATTATTTTGGGACTGTTTTAAAGATGTGGGTTTTTTTGTTTTTGGTAAGGTCATTGGTACCATTTCTTGTGTCTTTCTACCAGTAAAGTCACGGAGTTTAATTACCATGCAGTCTAGTACATATTTCAGTACTAGAATATTCTGTAAGTGAGGCCCCTCAGTAGACTAGACTAGTATATAATTTAGCGGCCTGCCTCCCAAGAGGCATATCATGCAAGAAGTACAAAGGAATTTCACCAGGCAGAGAGTGCAGAATTGGTATTCATCTACACATTTAACACTGTTTCCCTGGGCTTGAACAAAGACATTAACTGGATGTCAATATTATAAAGTCAGTCTCCCCTACCTCTAACAACTGCATATTTACATCAAAAGCCAAGAATGGGACACTTACAGCCCACTTAATTAACCTCATTAGCACCAATCCCAAAATTGATAGGTAATATCCTGGTTCTGTTATTTCCACTCCAGCTCATGTGATGAAGTCGGTTTTTACCCACCAAAGCTCATGATACTATATTTTTCTGTTAGTCTCTATGGTTGTTGTTTTAAAAGTTACACAGCTACCTCTCCGAGAATTATGCAAGAATATTTGATACTTTTACTCCAAAAAGCTACACTAGTGTCTAATAAACTTTCAGCTGGTCCTGGTTCTGTTATTTCCACTCCAGCTCATGTGATGAAGTCGGTTTTTACCCACCAAAGCTCATGATACTATATTTTTCTGTTAGTCTCTATGGTTGTTGTTTTAAAAGTTACACAGCTACCTCTCCGAGAATTATGCAAGAATATTTGATACTTTTACTCCAAAAAGCTACACTAGTGTCTAATAAACTTTCAGCTGGAGTTTAGCATAAGTTTGAAGTCTTAAATGGTGTAGGAGCTAGTTACTCAGGGAACTGCCTCTCTTCCCTGCCCCATACATCAGATCATCTGTTCTACATTTCTTCTCAATTCTACCCCTATATTCCTTGAGTATGGAATTTGGTTTTTTCTTGATGTGCCAGAGCTTTGATTTTTACAAAAAGCCAGGGGGTTAATAGGAGATATTTTTGTGAAAATTTAACTTGGTGTCAGAGAAAACTTTCAGATGAAGATCTGTTATAGTAATGGAGTGGTTTTGCAAAGGAAGTGGTAAGAATGCCATTCCTTGAGACATTTAAAACTAAATTAGACACAACCCTAGTGAGGATCCAATAGGAAATGCAATGCACAATCCTGCACTAACAGTGAGATGCTCTGAATGGTTGAGTAGATATTTTCCACTTCAAGGTACTTGGATTCTGCAATTATTCAGCCTTTTAAAACAATTATTACCTCATTTTTAATTTGGAACATCATTAGTAGGATTATTATAATTTGAGAAATCAGTAAAGGGAGATTTCCCATAGATTATGGCTGGAGTTTAAATACATGAAAGTTTCATTTCTTTCTCATAAATAGCAACGGTTTGAACTAACTCTTTCAGACACTGGTATTGAGACCTTTTGTGTGAATGTGTTGGCTTATCTGTACAGCTTGTCAGCTCACACATACATATTGAAATAAACTGCAAAATTTTCAGGCCCAAGACTTTGTCTTTCTGAATATAGTTTGCATTATGGGGCCTGGATTCAGCTTGTAGAGTTTGGGCATTCCCATAATAAATAGGTTTTTAAAATGAAATTGTCAATGAACCTCTCTCTGTAGGCAAGTAAACTGTTCAATTTTTTTCTCTTTAGTTTCCTTGTGTTTCTAAGGTACCAGAGTTACTACAGTTACCCCCTTGAGACTTACCTGGAGTACCCCATTCTAATTGCACAAGGTAATATTTTTTTGTTTTTTTATATTTTACCGTAACCTTGATTTCTTATTTGTAATGACTGATCTTCTCTTTCAGATGTCATACTCCTGCTCTTTGTTCTGCATTATAGTGGCAACATGAAGCAAGCTTTGCCTTACGTAGTCATGTATCCTTTGATGTCTACCCACTTTTAATGTGCATTTCTTATTTGTATGCAACTCTCATAGAGTGCGTTTACACAGCATCCTTAGCTCAAAATAAGCTATGCAGTTTGTGCTATGCAAATTGCATAGCTTATTTCAAGTGTTTTCCGAAATAGCTTATTTCATAATTTTTCAAAATAACTTGCTATTCCGAAATTCCCCTTAATCCTCATGAAATGAGGGTTACAGGGACATCAGAATTAGCTGCTCATTAATTCAAAATCTATTTCAAAATAATGGGCTGCTTCAGTAGACATGGAAAAGCTATTTCAGGATACTTCCCGTATCCCAAAATAGCTCCACAGTGTAGACCTAGCTTTAGATTTTTGTAAAAGCCTTTATGCAGCATAAGCTGCATCTGTACTTGATTGTACTGGGCCCACAACCGAGGAGGAATGAAGCTAATTCATAAATTTACATGTGTCATGCACACACATAATGGAAAATATGAAGTTTGTTTAACTCTTTTAGACAATCATGTCAACTGCAGATTGCACACACGTGACTTTTAGGTGCTCCTTTGGAAAGATATACAGTTTTGGGTTTACATTTGGCACTGGACACTTCGTAGCAGGGCTTGATAAGTTATCTGACCCCAGACAGAAATAATATGAAAAATGAGTCTGGGAAACTACTAGCAGGATCTAGGGAGAAAGTGACCACCCTTCTATTCCTGCGGCTGTAGAAGGGGGTTGTGTTGGGATTTACATCAGCTTTGGGCTCTGTTTTGGGGCTTTGTCTTTCTGAACCACTTTAGCCTGCATGTAGGTGTTAAATGTGAAATTCTACTGCCTCTATTTTCTGGAGGACAGAAGGAGTGGCTCTTTGGTCCTGGGTTTTTATTACCCTCCCTGCCAAGAGCTCCAAGCCAACTTGGGTGACTTTAATGCTGCCACTTGTTGCTGGACATTATTCATGACAGTTTCACAACTGTTCCTATGGTTTTGAAAAGCAGCAGTAAAACAGTATAGTTAATTTTACTTTGTTATGTTCTACAGACTTATGCTAATGCAATGTTAGATTAAAATTTGTAATAAAAAATTACAATGCAGTGGGGTTCTAAAATGCTGCTATGGATAGAACATCTTATAGCAATTTTGTAAAATTCAAATAAAAGTCTTGAAAATTATGGTCCTGACCCGTAACCAAGTACAGTAAACTTCCAATAATCTGGCACCTTTAGGACCCGGGGGTACCGGATTATCAGATATGCCAGACTATCGGAAGGGGGGGCTATGAGGCGTCTGGAATGGGGTGGGGGAGATGCCACCACAGACCCTTCATAGCCCCCCCCTTCCGATAGTCCGGCTCTGCCTCAGGCATCCCTGATTCAGCCGCTGGGGAAACTGACCAGCAGCGGCTGGATTTCAGCAGCCGGCTGAATCGGGGACGCCTGGTGCAGAGCAGCTGGAGTGCTGCTGGGTTGTTCTGGTAGCGCCGACCCTTGGCACGGCGAGACCAACCCGGCAGCACCCCAGCTGCTCTGCCCCAGGTGTCTCCAAGTCAGCTGCTGCTGATACTGATCAGTGGCTGACTCCAGGAAACCCGAAGTAGAGCTGCTCTGTCCCAGGCTTCCTGGAGTCAGCCGCTGGTCAGTTTTAACAGTGGCTGAATCGGGGAAGCTGGGGGCAGAGCAGCTCCAATGGTCCGGCTGCCCAGAGCACTTCCGGGTTCCTTATGGTGCCGGACCATCAGGAGTGCGGGACCATCAGATGCCGGACCATCGGAGTTTTACTGTATATGTCTTTATTCACGTGGATAGTTCAGTTGAATTCAACAGGACTGTCAGTGTATTTAAAAGCTTTAGAAAGGTAGCCAAGTAAGTCTGTAACTAGAAAAACTTACCGTAAACAACAAATAGTCTTGCAGCACCTTAAAGACAAACAAAACATGTAGATGGTATCATGAGCTTTCATGGGCACAATACACTTCTTCAGATGAAAAGAGTTATTAAAGGTCCAGTTTCGAAATAAATAGGGGATGGGTTAGGGGGAGGGGGAAAAGAACGAAGGAAAAAAGAGAGAAGAAATAGTAAATTAGGGTGCGTTTACACAGCAGGGCTTAACTCGAAATAAGCTATACAAATTGAGCTACATCAATTGCGTGGCTTATTTTGAAATAGCTTATTTAGAAATTGGGAAAGTCTACATAGCACTTATTTGTAAATAGAGCACTCTTCCTCTGACTTCCCTTACTCTAGTATAATGAGGAGTTGAATTAAGAAGTCCTCCAGCTGGGCAGTACTTCAACATTATTTCAAAATAACTGCCTGCTATGTAGAAGTGGACTTATTTCAAAATAACACTAGTTATTTTGAAATAATGTCGCTGTGTTAGAGGGCACATCTAGACTTGCTTTCACTTTCGAAAGAAGATATTCAAATTCAGTGGGAATTTGCATATCTTCTTCCGTTCGCTTTTTCGAAAGAGGTTCTTTCGAAAAAGAAAGTAGTCTAGATGCGTTTTTTTCAAGAAAAAACCCTTTCTGCACCCCCACCCCTGAGAAGTCCCACTACCTACCTCTAGTGTAGTGCCGGCTTCCCGTGGGGTGGACGGAAGTCCTGGGTGAAGCCCATGTCACTTCCGGGGGCTCCGAAAGTGCGCAGGCTGCTTCCCTCCCACAACTCTGTCATGTGCTAGGGGAGGGGGCTTCGGCTCCAGAAGAGGAGTCCGGCGGCTTCCCTGGGAGGGATGAGTTGAGCTCAGGGATTTCCCTGTGCTGCGGGTGCGGGGTTTGGCCTGGGGAGGCTCCCACGGGGGTTTGTCTGCGCGACAGGAGGGGGGTTTGGCCCCACCGCGGGAGAGGTGGATCGGCCCCGGGGTAGGAACCCGCAGGGGTTGGCCACGCTGCGGGTGGGGTGGGCCACGCCACGCCGCACCGTAGGAGGGGGGCTTGGCCCTGGGGCAGGCGCCTGCGGGGGTTGGCCGCATCGCGCTGCGGGAGGGGGGTTTGGCCCCGGGGCAGGCTTCCGCTGGGGTGCTCTGCCCCAGGGCTTCCCCAAGTCCGCCACTGCTGAAACTGACCAGCGTCGGACTTGGGGAAGCCGGGGGGAGAGCAGCTCCAGTTGTCCGGCTGGTCAGATCACTTCTGGGTTCTGCCGGACCACTGGATGCCGAACAACTGGAGTTTTACTGTAATAGCTAATACCCTGATCTACAAATTCTTTGTTCAGTGCCCATATAACTGAGCATTAGGAAACTTAACTCAAGGTAAGATTTGTGGGAGGATGGTACTTTCTAACTCTTCAGAAATGGGTAATAGACCTGGCGATGGTAAGTAGCAGCTCTTAAGTTGAAACTGCATATATATATATTTGTCATACTTTTCATAGTTCCATTTATCAGTGAAAAGCCATTTTAACCCTTTTAATGTACCATACAACCCCCCCATTTATCTGAGCTACCTTTTTCCAGTTCTCCGTCTTAACCAAAACACCCAGAAACATGGGAAACTAATGCTTCAACCTAGGTGGAGGGTCTCATTGTTAAAAACTCATTTTGGGTTTCTTGTACATAAATGAACAAAACATTGTTTGCAAGAACTAAAAGTTTGTGCATTTTGTAAGTAGATAAGAAGGGGAATATGTCTTACTGCTTTTCCAGGAGAGGACAGCTAGTTTAAAAACAACCCTGCATTTAAAAATAAATATAAAGCTCTTTGCCCATTATGATTATCTGAATTTTTGATGATCTGGTCTGTCCAAGTCCCACTTAGATCAGGTAAAGAATTGTATTTTATAACTTATTCTAGAGCAGGGGTGTGTAATAATTTTTGACCAGGAGCCACTTCAGAAATTTTTGAAGTGATTCGGGCCACCCCGGAAGGGGCGGGGCCAGGATTGGTCTGGAGATTGGGGGAGCATGCAAAATCTTTGCCCTCCTCCCCCAGAGAACCACCAGCTGTTCTCAATAGTTGGTGGTTCCCTCTAGGTACCCATGCCCTTCTAGGTACTTCGCATGCTCCCCTCTGCTTCCCCCAGGCAAGTCAGTCAGGGCCTGGGGAGGGGATCATGTGAAGTCTCTCACTTCCTACCCCTGCCCTGCAAGGGAGTGCTGTGTTTACAGTCAGTTGCCAGCTGAGCAGGCCTGGGGGCGGGGGTAGTATGCAAGGAGCATGTGGCACGCTCCCCTCACTCCCAGGCCAATCAGGGTTGGGGGTAGGAGGAGCATGCAAAGTCCTCTCTCACCCTGCCATGATGCTTCTATGGGCCGTGCACTCCTTGCAGGGCAGGGGCAGGGCGGAAGAAGACTTTACACACTTCCCCCCACCCTGAGGCCCTGATTGGCCTGGGGGAGCAGCAGGGCCTCCTTGTGCTTGGTTGGTGGGTCGAATCCGGCCCGCAGAGACCCTTTTGCCCACTCCTGCTCTAGAGGGTGTTTTGAACGTGACTGTTCAATGAGCAAGTTCCAAGTAGTTTTGCCTATCACTTGTGTGAATAGTTTGAGAATGTAGCACTTCTTATTGAGCACATTTAGTTTAAAAATAACTTTTGTTTTAAGATGTAGCTATCAGAAGCTACCAAGTGTAGTAATTGTTATCCTTTATATTTTACACTTTTGTCAGACCCTGTACCACAGAACTAGACCAATTGGTTTTTGGATAGTTTCACTTTGTTTCATAATTTCCTAGTAAGGTTCTGTAATATTTGGACAACCAATTAAGGATTTTTTTTTAAATATCAAAAATTTCTATTTTTTTTTTTAAAGTAAAGCATACATACATTTTAGGCCTAAGCTAAGTACTTCCTTTTTAGATGGAACTAGAAACAGCTGTGCTTTGTCTCTCTTTTTAAATCTTTCTCTGCAGAATTTGTGTACATTAATCAGTGCAGCAAGTAAATTTGCTCAGCTGAGATATCTATGGCAAACAAGAGATTCTGGACAAGTGAGCGCCCTGACCTGGAGTATGTCTACGTACACTTGTGCAAGTAAGCAATATGCAAAAGCATTGGAGTTTTGTATAATAAAGTGACTACCCCAAAGCCATTACTGTTCTAATGCATCTGTAACTATAGCAAGAGGCTTTGGCAAACCCGTAGTAAATCGGATTCTTCTCCAGGGTATCTTTGCATATTATTGCCTAAAAATAATAGTGAAATCTTGACCTGGCTGAAGTCAGTGTGAGGTTTTGTCATTGACTTCAGCTTAATCAGGACATCACCCTAAGTTTAACTGTTTGGTCGTGTTTGAATGTTATCTTTCTGCAAGAGTACCTGTTCTTTTATGCACGTGTCATCTCTGTTACTTTTATGAAGAAAGGGTCTCAGTCCTTTATTATTTTAAGTTAATGAAAATCCAGGATAGAAAAATATCAAAATTTGTAGCTCTGATGTGCATTGCAATTGTCTTCCTATTTTGTCTTTACAACTTAATATCCTAATACTTTCCATTAGTTTATTACTGTAATTCCAGACAAGTGACAATATTGGAAAATCACTTATCAAAGCCTACATCATTTTTTTTTCATTTAAATAGATTTTATATATATAGTTCTATATTTCATTGGAGAAAAAGCTCACCTGTCTTAAAGGACCTAATGAAAGGATCTCTAGCCATTTTCAACCGATAATTTTAAAGGCATACCACTAATTCTGGAAACATTTAGAAATATTTGCTAAACATTAAGGCTGGGTCTATGCTGGCAAGTGAATGACAAAACTTTAGTCGTTCAGAGGTGCTAATCTCTCTACCCTCAAAAGATACAAGTTTTGCACATCAAGTGCCAGCGTGAGCAGCACGGTGTAAACGCCGCTTATTGGGGGAGGAAGTATTTTGTTGGCAAAAGAGATGACAAACCAAAGCTACACTGCCCAACTTTTAGCGACACAGTGTTTTGCTAAAAGCTATGTAGTGTAGACAAAGCTTAAGTCATATCCTGTTCATGTTCTTGAATCTAGGCAATAATTTATATAGGGTTCTGGTGTGTAGATTAGTTATAATAGAGATACTGTGTCAAATCACACCCGTTATGAGACATGATGGTGCTTCAAAGATTAAGGCCAGAAGAGACCATTCTGATAATTTAAGTCTGACCCCAAGCATTATACAGGGCCATGGAATTTCACTCAGGAATTCCTGCAGTGGAGCGATTTATTCTTGTGTGTAGCATAAGTGAAACATGAACAGAGATATATGGGAGTAAATAAGTTCTCTAATATAGTAAACTGGTAAATTTTGCTCTAGTTTTTAACTGAAACTTGAATATAGAAGCTCATAGCCATCTGACAGTCTGAAAAATACTATATCAAAAGAGAGAAGACTGTGTTAAATAGGGAGTAAGAGAAATAGTATGTTTTTACCATGGCTTACCTTGTAGTAAGATTTTTCTATTTTAAAATGTTGAAAAGTACCAATTATATCAGCATTTTGGTTTACTATTGTCAAATAACCCCTTAAAATTGAAAAGAAAAAGCTCTCTCAGGGTTGGGACTTCATTTTGAGAATACAGTAGGTGGTGGGTACATTTAAGATGTGGATATTTGTATGCGGTTTGGGGAGTTTTTTGCTTAATTTTTCTCTTAACTGCAAAGTTGAGAATTCATTGTTGGTAGTAGTTGGATGCACCAGCAGATCCTTTTGGGTACACTAACCACAATTCCTTTAATTTACAGCAAGAATCGTTACAACTTTAATGACCACAAATGATCCTATGGGTGAGTAATATATGAAATTGCCTTCACTTCTTCGCTATCCAAAGATAACAGCAGCTTGTCCTGTTTTATGAGCAGTTATATAGTTTATTGTACTGAGAACCAGATAACTGAGTAGTTTATTCCAGCAGGGTAACTGGACTACTGCTGAGAAAACAACACAGGACTATGATTATGGCTCAGTGTTTAACACCCAGGTGGAAGACAATTGGAAGAAAAAACCCTATTTGTGTTCATCATCGGGTGCATTCATGGTTTAAAAGGCAGTTTCTTACTCTTAACAGAAAAAACAGATTTAAAATGTGCTTAATTAGGAAAATGCCTGCTTAAAGGAACAAGAACAAAAACCATACCCTCTTTCAGTTGCAACACATTGAGCAGTAACTTTCCCCAAATGGATAAGATATCAGAAACAGCTGCTTCTCTCTAACTGGTAGACTGAATTTTTAAAAACAAACTATTTGAAAACTGTGAAACTATTTAAATTATTTGTACTAGTTTAAAATTTGTAAGTGATACATGAAACTTACATGTAGCTGAAAGTATTATAGATTGCTGGTATGCTGTCACCAGCAAGTGCAATGAAATAAGAGATTGGTGGACAACACATGGAATTCGGATACCATGTGATGGGCATGTTAGAATAAATTTATTATAAAACTCTCTAAGGGATAGATAAGATCAGCCTGTGTTTTTTTTTTCATTCTGGTCAAACAGTGCACTTGAGAAACTGCCCCTATCTGTTGGCATTTCATTTACTCAAGCTAGTACAATCCAAAGTGTCCTTTTTAGTAGAAAATGACTAAATTTGCATATAGTAGAAAGCAATTTTAGACAATGGAAATAAGTTAGTCAGTGATTTTGATGTTTTACTAGAATGAGCTAAAGAAAACTGCCCCATCATATATTACCCAGAGTGAATTTTAAAAGGCCATTAGTGCCCATAAACTGCTTCAAAGTGTAGCACAATGACAACCGGATGGAAGCAGTGACATTTGGAGTTTAAACAAAAATGTGGCCTGTCAAATGTTTGGGGGTTGAGAGCTCACACCGTTTCCCCCTCATTCTTAGTTACTCCATGTCTGGTGTTATGCACTATAGTGTATTTATAAATTTATACATCTGCTATACTGTTTACTTCCTCAAATAAAACAAATGGGATACATACACATGTGCAATGTCAGGTGACCAGAGAAACTGCTTCTTTGATTTTCAAATAGATTTTGCAGCTTTATAAAAAAAAAAAAACAAAAAAACCCACAACCTCAGCTTTATAAAAAAAAACAAAAAACACACAACCTCAAGGTAATCAAAACTGAGCAAATCTGATTGTTTCTTACAGTTTGTCAGATTTTTGCCTATTAAACTCAAACAATGTACACAAACTGAAAGAAACAGATTTTTGCCTATTAAACTCAAACAATGTACCAATAAAGATTTTTCAGTTAGAAAAAAAAAGCTTACCAGCCTGAATTTAATAGACAAGGTTATTTAGATACAGCACTATCTATGCTTATATGCTCCTGTAAGAAATAGGTATACATTGTGTGAATTTAAATCAAATTTATTAAACTTGCCATATATAGCAAGTTCATTTTTCATGTCAAAGTGATTCAAAGAAGCAGATTTAACATTAAGGAACCCAGATGTGAATATTTTTAGATACTTCTGAGTAGCACAATGAAATCACTATTCATCAGATGAGGAGACACCTGATTCATCGTTCTCCCTTAAACAAAACACAAAGCTGGAAATTATTTTCAGTATTTTCCACGTCTTACACATGGCTTCCTTTACACAGTATTTTGAGGCAGTGCATTAAGAAGTTATGGGAGGTGAACTATTCAGAATGTACACTAATAAAAGCTTTGAAACAAGTTATTGTATCCTGTGGAAGTGGCAACAGTTATTGCGAGCACTCGTGCTTTACAATATTTTATTAATTGAATGTTTTTTCTCCTCCTTAGTTCTAGTCCGCTTCATAATCATGCTGGTTCTTAATATATGGGTCACAGCCACAATACTGCGTTACAGGAAGACGGAAAAGACTGATTAGATGACAGCTCTTCCCAGCTGCAACATGGACCAAAAAAACCTCACATAGTGAAACCTGAACAAGGGACTTCCAAAGACAGGCAACCTTCTGTGTGCCATCTGCCTCATATTATTCCCAAAAGATTTAAGAACAGTGGTGTCTGTGTTTTAATACACTTACTGCTACTAAATGGAAGCATATTTTTTTATAAGTAAATTTTGTCATTTCAGATAGGTTTCAAAAGGTACCTGACATTTTCTCTCGGGTTTTTTTTTTTCCATATTTTGAACTACGTAGATTCCTTTCTTCTTTACTCCTGGGGGAATTTTGTGTCAAATTAAAAAGTCTCTGCACAGTATTTTAAAATACTGCCTATTTTATTTAAAATAACACTATATAATCATGCTGGTTTCAGTTATTTTGGTAATTTATTTCAAAATACCGATCAGCAACTATGATTCCCCCAGGAGCAAAAAAACACCCCAAAAAACCAAACAACCCTATGACAACCCAGTTCCTGTTTCTCTGTTCCCTCCCATGCAGAGCCCAGCCACAGGCCAGACACCCAAACCCCTCCCCCAGCATAGACATCTGCACTCCTTCCCACCAGAAATCAGTGGGAGTGCTCCTCCTGCACCCAGGCATGAGATGCTACCAGTCGAGACATACCCAGCTCAGAGACCAGCTACATCTCACCCCCCCACCCCGATCAGACAGCCGCATTGCCTACTCTAGCTGCTGGGTAACCCACTAGCCCATGCACCTGTATGCCTTACCCCCTTTGGATCTAGCTGCATAGCCAGACACCCACACCCTCCCCCCAGAGTCCAGCTGTGAGGTCCCACAGCCCCAAACTCCCACACTCCTTCCCTGACCCCACCTGAGCCCAGTCACCAAGTTGATACCTACACTACCTCTCTCATCAAAGCCCAGCTGCAGGGCATCTCCAGCCCAGACACCTGCACCTCTCTTCCCAAAGGCCGGTCATAGTTTCCCCAAGCCAGACACCTGCATTCCCTCCCTCCAGAGAGAGAAATAGGCTGACACTGGGTCCAGGATTTGTATGATATTTCTTACGCTCTACTTCTTCCCTCAGGACATGCTGGGAGCTGCAGCTGCTGGGTATCCTTCAGCTCTATCAAGTGTCTTCTATTTGTGAGCTAGGGGCTGCTGAGTTTACTGGGGCTCTACAGCTCTAACTTTGCATGGAAAAAAAATTCTGCATTGCAGGGCTAGAGGATTTTGCTAAAAGTATCTTTTGTTAACACACTAGTTCTTACAGACTAAGGTTCATCTTTTCAGCAGCTTTCTTCGTTTATGTAGGCATAGTTTAGCTTCTCCAAATTTTTTAGATTTTGTTTTGCAGTTGTATGACCACACTTCATTACATTAGTACAGAGGTCAGCAACCTTTCAGAAGCGGCATGCCAAGATGTAACATTCACTTCTATTTATGGGTCTGCATGCCGTCTATTAAATTCAATAATAGTCCTACGCATAGCAGCTTCATTAATAAAGATGCAGATGTTACCATTTTAGTAACACAGGATTTTTAAAAAAAATCACTAAGGTCAGAGTTTTAGATATTTGCAACACTTTAAAAAAAATCAGTTAAAAGAATCTTTTTCTTTCTTACTGTGGGATACACAATGTTAATTCTTGGCTCCATCACAGACTTCTTGAGTGAGCTCAGGTAAGCCCCCAAGATTACATCTACACTACAGCTGGAGGTGTAAGTTACAGCACAAGGAAACATACATACCTACCATTAGCTGAGCTAGTGCACGGAGGGTAGGTCTATACTGCTGTAAGGTGTGGAGTACACACACCTCCTGGTAGCATTAAGGGGAGCTGAAGATGCACTCAAATGTCTGAGTGCAACAGAGCTGGTTGAAATTTTTAAAGCTTTTATTTATAAAGGGAGCAGGAAAGGACTCTTTTCTAACACAAAACTATCGCATCCCAAACTGCTGACATTGTCAAAATGGTTCCTCTTGTGTAAAAAAAATGCCATGCTTTTTCACTAACTCATACTTCAAAGTCTTTTATAGCTAGTGTGTGCCAGTTTTTGGAGGGGCTTTTTGTAAAGGAAAAATTTAACTAACTTCTTTGGAGGGCAGGGGGAAATAGAAAAGATGTAGGACATTTTGAAAAAGGGGGGAAAAATGAATCCATTTGGCACACTTTGAAATGAAAACAAATTCATAAGTTTAGCCTTGGTTTTTCTCCTCTGTCAAAATAGGTCATCGTGTTTCAGCCAGTTCTGGTAACACAGGGAAAAATCATAAGTTATGCTTTGGTTGACAATTCCCAGCCTTTGGCTTTGTTTTTTAGACCTAGGCCCAGATATACAGTGGTATTTGGGTGCCTGCAGAGGCAGATACATACCTAACCTGCTTTACACTCCAGAAAACCCCAGGGCTACGCCTAGACTGGCATGATTTTCCTATTAAGGGGGGACATGATAGCGGTTTTCAAATATCTAAAAGGGTGTCACAAGGAGGAAGGCGAAAATTTGTTCCTCTTGGTTTCTGAGGACAGGACAAGGAGTAATGGGCTTAAAGTGCAGCAGGGGAGGTTTAGATTGGACATTAGGAAAAAATTCCTAACTGTCAGAGTGGTCAAATATTGGAATAAATTGCCAAGGGAGGTGGTGGAATCTCCCTCTCTGGAGATATTTAAGAACAGGTTAGACAGACATCTGTCAGGGATGGTGTAGACGGAGCTTGATCCTGCCTTGAGGGCGGGGGGCTGGACTCGATGACCTCTCGAGGTCCCTTCCAGTCCTATTATTCTATGATTCTATGAAATGCTTTTAACGGAAAAGTTTTTCCGTTAAAAGAATTTGCGGAAACGAGCGTTTAGATTGGCACGGACGCTTTTGCGCAAAAGCATCCATGCAAATCTAGACGCGGTTTTGCGCAAGAAAGCCCCGATCGCCATTTTCGCCATCAGGGCTTTTTTGTGCAAAACACTTTTTAGCTGTCTACACTGGCCCTCTTGTGCAAATACATTTGCGCAAGATGGCTTTTTCCCCGAACGGGAGCAGCATAGTATTTGCGCAAGAACACTGACAATCTTACATGAGATCGTCAGTGTTCTTGTGGAAATTCAAGCGGCCAGTGTAGACAGCTGGCAAGTTTTTCCGCAAATTTGCCAGTCTAGACGCAGCCCAGATGTCTAACTCCCATTAAAAGTCAAATGAAAATAAATGCAGTTCTCATTAGGCACCTGTTTCTTTAGGTATTTGTAAATTTAAGCCAGTAACATCTCATCTTGCCGCTCCCTTTAGTAGCTGCTTGACAATGCCCCTCCCCCTACCAATCAGTTGACCTCCCTGCCTGCAGGGCAGTGCAGGCTCCCTGCTGAGTGGACAGGAGGGAGGGGAAGGACTTCATTCAGAGAAGGGAATGCCCAGGGTTCTTTCCGGTGTCCTAGGCCTCGCCCCTTCCCCCCCCAAAACAAACATACATACATATAGCTCAGGCTAGCCCAGGGTTCTTTCCGGTGTCCTCTAGGCCTCGCCCCCCCTCTCCAAAACAAACATACATACATATAGCTCAGGCTTTAGAGGCTTCTGCTTTAAAATCACTATGATGCTAGGTTCAGTCTCCTCCGCTGATGACTCACCGTAGTGCAGGGCATGCAGAACCGGAGACAAACTCTCTCTCATATGGACTCATCTACTCTCGAATAGAATCTGACAAAACTCATTCTATTGTATGGTTCTGCAAGATGTAAATGTTCACCTGAGTTTGTACTTTAACATTCCACTCATAACTTGTATTGTAGTAAAGCAAAATACCCATTTTATTAAAAGAGATATATTTGCATAATTACTAGCAGTGATTTTGGCTATTGTGGATTAATGCTACAGTGGTTCTAGCTAGCTATTGTTATATACTGGTATGTAGCTTGCCTTGTTTTCTCCTAGAATTATGTTTTTCGGATGGAAAAACATGCTCTTCTCAAAAGAGCTTCTACACTGTTACTGATGTCAGCTACTGATCACTGGGGGAAGGAGGAGACCTGGTCCCAATGCAGTCTATGGCAAAACTTCCATTTAATTCAACATGACTGTGATTTCACCCCAGTGAAATCATAGGTGCCATTCCAGCAATAAAATCTGGTGAACCCATGTCCCTGTGCAGAGCTCCATTGGATTCATAGTGGATTCAAGGTGCGCTAAGGGTCTGCTTGCATGGATCCAGAAATCACAGTAGCTTAATAATATTAGAATAATTTTGCTAACTCTTCAGATAAAACAATACATTGTATTTCAAAATCAATTACTTAATATTGCTTTAATAGAGTGAATACATAGGTAGATTTTTAGCTTTAAACAGTCTAAACATTTTCAAATGTTTCTGTGTCAGCTGCGCAAAGCATGGCTATGTGAAGAAGCATTTAAAAAATCTCTTGGGTAAAAAAGTGTATAACACACTTAAATGGGTAAGGAAGCATCAGCTCTTCTGTTCTGTAGTGGCACATGAAAAATATCTTTCTGCAGTTTAAAAAAACTTTAATGACATTAATCTTGATCTTGCCATCTTACATAGAGGGAAAACTGAACATCTATTATACTTATGTATTTAGCTACGTTTAACCGTAATGCTGGAAGTACCATGTAGGGCTGCCAGCCTTCCTGACTGGACGCCATTTGTGGCAATGGCATCTAGTCAGGGAAATTGGTAACCCTAAGCTGGGTCTCTCCCTTTTCTCCTCTTATAGCGATGTATTAAAAAGCTCACACAATTAAATGTCTTGACATTTCCACCACTAACTCACTGCGATACAGGATGATTTGGATATTAGTAATGGATTATTTGTAGAGGCATTTGTTTTTCTGAGGAATAATTTTCTCCACCTTTATAATGAAGAGGAGTGTCCCTTAGTTCAGTGTGGGTCATGGCTCCCTTAGGAAGCTATGAAGCATATTTAATATGCCTGCTTTTGGTTTTTCTATTAAACTATGCTTAAAATCACCTACCTCTTTTCTCAGGGTCTACATTAGATGCTTCCACCAGGTCTAGGAGCGTGTGTGCCCTCCGCTCTTCAGCAGAGAGAATCCTTTCTGGGAAAAACATTCATCAGGAAGTCTCATAGCTAAAAACCCCCATCTGGAAGGCAGAGGTTGCAAAGAGGCTCCCAAAGTCAGCAGCAGCCCCAGCACAAGCAGAATGGGAAAAGAGGGTGAGGGAAAGACAGATGCATCTCATCTTTATAATGGAATGATATTTACCAAGTGCTAAACCTATGTGTAAGCAAACATTCCACTGAAGATGATTTTAATGAGGTTGAACAGAAAAGAAAGTAGCAGCGGCGGCAATGTATACACACTGCATGAATCGTTGCCAAGCCTTGGCATCACAGACGTTGCAGCTGTAATACGAGTCCTTCAGCCTTACTAAAATTGTTGATTTTATGAAATCTTGGGCAGTGATCCCGTTGGTTTAATGTGCTATGCAGAGAAACGGGCCATGACTGCATTCAGCTTCTGTTTCACAGTGAAGTGAGGTGATTGTGTGTTTATGAACTGTATAATAAAGCCAGAATTTTCCTCCATGGGAAAACAGACCTCGCAGATTCCATGCATAATGTGGACTTAACTACAGTAGCTTATCTGTTGGATATGTATGGCAAATTGAATCCACTGAACCTTACACTTCAAGGTAGGAATACACATACATTAAAGATGAAAAGAAAAATGGGGTGGGGATTCCTGTCTTTGGAGGTGCCACATTAACCAAAATGTCATCAATGATCAAATATTAACATATTTGTTTGGATTCCCATTCTGATTGTTTTCCTGTACTTGAACATGAACACAAATCTCCAGATACTAAGATTCAAAACCCATTCTTGGGAACAGTTGAATCTACTCCAAACAGCTATCTCAGTTTGAGAAAATCTCTTAGGGCACCTCTACACAGCAGGGTTAAACTCGAAATAAGATATGCAACTTGAGCTATGCTAATTGCATAACTAAAGTCGAAATAGTTTATTTTGCCTTTTGGCGCTGTCTACACAGCAGTTATTTCAAAATAGAGTACTCTTCCCCTGACTTCCCTTACTCCTCATGAAATAGGTTTACAGAAATCGGAGTAAGAAACCTGTTACTTGAAATTTATTTTGAAATAACGGTCTTGCTGTGTAGATGCACACTACGTTATTTTGGAATAACTGATGCTGAAAGGTAAGTCGTCAAATCCACCAAACCAGGAATTCTATTTCTGTTAAAGTGTATGAAGAACTCTATTACTGTGCTGCTTTCATAGACCTCCAGTTTCCTGTGAGTCTGGATTTTCAGTAATGATTTCAGTGAACACTAAACATCAAAATGGTTTACATGACTCACATCTGACACTCAGAGATTCAGAAACATTAAGCAATTGTGCAGTTCAAAACAGGCCCATTCTGCTCACAAATATCTTAGGCAGTGCCCAAACATGCCAAAGAAACCATATTTTCATATGATATAATTAACAAACTATGCATTTGAATAAGGTCACAAAACCATCCACTCTCTTAGGGTATGTCTACACAGCAGGGCAAAAATCGAATTAAGCTATGTGACTTCAACTACGTCAATTGTATAGCTGAAGTCGAAATGGCTTAATTCGGCTTTTGGCACTGTCTACACTGCAGGAAATCAAAGGAAGAACACTCTTCCTCTAACTTCCCTTACTCTTTGTGAAATAAGAGTTACAGGAGTTAGAGTAAGAAGTACTCCAGCTTGCCTTTATTTTGAAATAATGGCTTGCTGTGTAGAAGCGCTCTGATATTATTCTGAAATAAGGGTAGTGTGTAGACATAGCTCCAATGTCCTAAATAAGTTAAAAAAACAAACCACCCTGTATTTTGGCTGTGGGAGCTTCCAAGTTTTAAAATATCTGTAGAGAGCTACAGACTATTCCCCTTGAGCTACATGATGTCCCAAGATGGGTACCTCTTCCCTGAACACTAGCACCCTTGCTGAGTACCGAGACTTTTCATACCAATGAGATAACCTCTACAAAAGAAAAAAAACCCACTCCTACAGAACAGTCTTCCTGCAGGATCTCTTAGCTTCACATGAGTGAATTTGTCTAGTCCTCTGCACAAAGCATGATAGTGATGTTCCTTCTAAAGAAGGAGATAATCTAATCATCGTCCCTGCCAATGCATATGGAGCTAAAGAAAAAAAATGTTTTGGACTCACTAGACTAAATGTCATTTCTTCTTGTGATAGACCACGAAGAGGTAGAGGTCAGTGGAAGCCCGGTTGTCTTCCAGTCCTACTGTTATGTTGGTGATGCTGGTGACTGCCTTTTTAATTTTTCTGGTTTTGTTTCATTGCCTCCCAGATCCTCAAGTATTACATGTAACAACAAATTCCTGTAAATCTATGTATGTGAACTAGAATTTGCAGCTTTAATACTCAGGGTTTATCTATCCACTGTGGCAAAGCATACCTTGGGGGGAGGAGGGCAAGTTTGTAGAGTACTCTAAAGTGTTGCCCTAATTACTCCAATTATGTTAAGGTGAAGCAGGTATGT